TATGTGACCAAGCAATGGCTAGGAGGACAACATGAGTGACAAAACAAAGGATTACAAACTCTTACATTTATTATCATGTCATGCCAGGTCTCTTGATATGAAGGATCTAGGTTGAGATCTTCAGTGTCACTAACAAATGCCTTCATCTTTGGAACCTAGCTAGAGCTTTAGCAAGGATGATAATCAATTAGATTAAGCAGCATAATCATTTTTTGTTCATAAGAATAAAGAGTAGTGTATCAACAAATTACTTAATTAGGAAAGCATTTAGATAAGTTACAAATAGGGATACACTTATAATCCGAAGCTTACAAAAAAGACAAGAATTTCAACTATCCTATCTTTATCTTTTAAAGTTTTTATGAGGCGATTGCTAGGGCCACATATAATTGGAGCCATTAGAAGATAATGTTTATGATTGAATATACTCCAATTTTATTAGCCTCAATGTAATTAATTATCACCTGCATTAATTGAATTCTCACCCACATTAAGTGATTAAATTATCAGCCACTGCTTTTTTATTTAGTAACTATCAGCTATTGTATGTGCATGTGTAGAATAATATTGACACTTCATTAAGCATCATAAATTTCTGTTTCAGATATTACCCAAAAAAAAAAAAAAATTATGTTTCAGCTGCTGCATGACTATCAATAAATTATTTTATAAAGGAGACGTTGGATTTGATTTCATAGTGAGGAGGTCGTTTATGTAATTAATAATAACAAGGTATATCACACCGCGTAATAATGTTAATTAGCTTGTAAAATAAAATTTTATTTGTATAAGAATGTATAAGATTGAGGAACGCCTTCATGCTAACTGATTAAAGCTCTTAATGTAAAAAGTTTTCTTAAGTGTTGGTGAGGTATTGGACATGTGCAACCTCTTCTCCACCTCTTTCCTCCCATAGGTTATATCACTTTCTTTGTCCTTAAAAAAGATGTATATCAAACTATGAATATAATTTATTGTAAAACAATAATTGATATATCATCTTATTCAATATATTTCACAATATATTTATTAAGAAATTATTATTTTCTAAATTTCAATAAAAAGTGGGAAAATTAAAAATTATAAAATTTAATGACTAAGCTGATAAGTATTGTAAAATGTGTTGAACTAAATGATGTATCAATCATTTTTCTTTGTTATAAATGGTTTAAGAAGATACGAATTTGCATGTTGTTATATGCATATGATCAACATTTAACTAAATAAATAAAAAGAAAGCATACAACAGTGGATATTATAGTGGTTGTATTTAGGAGAAACAAAGTATGATCTTAAAATTTTTTATTTAAAATTACATAACAGGAGATAACTCTTTTTAGTTATTTAATTAGTTACTTATTTTTTTATTCTCTTAAAATTTTCATTAAAAAAATAATAATTAACTTAGGAATGTTAGGAAGGCTTGAGTTTTGGGCATATCTTATTTAGGTCCTAATTGGTATTGGTTTTGGGTATCTTTCAAGGATTGTCCTAAACAAATTTAACGAACTTGGGAATGTAGGAAGGCTTGAGTTTTGGGCCTACCTTGTTTGGGCTTGAAGGATATTGATCTTAAGAGGAACTTTTTTAAAGATTTTTGTGTTGTTAATTTATTGGTTAAAGATTGTTCTAAAAAAATTTAATTAACTTGGGAACGTTAAGAAGGCTTGCGTTCTGGGCCTACCTTACTCGGGCTTAAGTGATGGTGATTTTGGGTCTTATATATATTAATATATATAGGTATATCTTTTAAGGGCCATTTTAAAAGTATACCTTTTATATTGAATTAGTGTATTTAAAGAAATTTATATTTGTATATTATGTATGAATTAAAGTATATGTTTTGCAATAGATTTAATTATATTTTAATTTTTATTAAAATATTATA